TCTCCAGACTGGACTATTGTAATGCTCTCTTGGCGGGCCTTCCGGCATGCACTATCAAGCCTCTGCAACTGATCCAGAATGCAGCAGCGAGAGTGGTCTTCAATGAGCCAAAAAAAGCTCACGTTACTCCTCTCCTCATCAGGTTACACTGGCTACCAGTAGCCGCTCGCATCAAATTCAAGGTACTGATGCTTGCCTACAAGACAACCACTGGCGCTGCACCAATATACCTAAACTTGCTAGTTGCGACCTACGCGCCCTCCAGAAGCTTGCGTTCTGCAAGTGAACGGCGCCTCGTGGTGCCATCCCAAAGAGGCAACTCTAACGGACCTTTTCCTGGACTGTTCCCAGCTGGTGGAATGACCTGCCGATCTCAATCCGAGCAGCTGAGTCTTTAGACATTTTCAAAAAACAATCTTTTTCGCCATCACCTGACCAATTAATACTAGCACTTACCTGTTCTTAATTTTGATGATTAGAGCTTACAGCTCATGAAAGTAAAAAAATCCAGTATCTCAAAATATTAGAATATTTACATTTGAGTTTCATTAAATGATCATCCCTAAAGTATAAATTCCATGTATCTCTTGTTCTTTGAAAACCCAATAATGGGGAAGACTGCTGACTTGGCAATGGTGCAGAAGACAATCATTGACACCCTCGACAAAGAGGGTAAGTCACAGAAGGTCATTACCTTGAAATTTAGGAAATTGTAAATTGTTCCCTAATCTTGATCTCCACTGTACATTGGCCATCTTTGTTTATCCTATACCGATAGGCCTATTCTATTCTATTCTATTCTATTCTATTCTATTCTATTCGATCTAATTTATTTATATATAACAAACACCTTGCTATGTGCACTGTGCTAGACTAACTTAGACTTGTCACAGCACTTGTATATTGTTGCTCTCTCGTTGGTCTGATTGCTTCTACTTTGTAAGTCGCTTTGGATAAAAGCGTTTGCTAAATGACTAAATGTAAATGTAAATGTAATCTGAAGCTCTCAATCTCATTCACATTCAGATTCATAAATGTCATGTTTGTCTGCATCTTAATAACCAAAATAGTACATTGTCTAAAAAAAATGTCAGTCTGGATTTGGTTGGATCATTTAAATTGTGCTGTTATATTATTGGTTAATATTTTTCTATTCGCATGTGGCCTTTATGACATGAGCAGTAAAGAAAAGTCACTTTTATATTGGAAGACATTATAATGCGAAAACTTTATTATATATATGTAAACCAAATTGTATTGCCAAGCATAAATTTGCACACCTAGCTCGTACATTTAAAGAAAAAAGCTTGACCATTTAAAAAAATATATATTATATTATATATATTTTTTTTAAATTTATTATTTAAAAATACCAGATGGATAGGTCAATACAGTATTTTGTGAAACTCTGTTATATTTATATGTATTTTCTTAACCATTTTATATTGATCAGCATAAATTTGCACACTGAACTCTTACATTTAAAATTGATGTATTATTATTTTTTGTTATCCTGTAATATTTAAAATACCTGGTGAATAAATTCAAGACATTATTGTATAAAACATTATTTTTTCACATATTTTGTTAACCAAATGTTATCTTGATAATCATAAATTTGCACACTTGAATCTTACTTAAAACAATTTTTTTTTATAATTTATTATTTAAAAGTGGATAAGACCAAGACATTACTTTGAGGAAACTTTATA